GTGTGTGTGTGTGTGTGTGTGTGTGTGTGTGTGTGTGTGTGTAGGGGGAGAGCCCTTCAAAGCTAATCATTAGGAGTAAATGATGCACAGGCCTTGTTCAAGTGCTCCTGGTTCTCCTCATTATCTCCATGTCCCTGCTTTGATAAACCCACAGTACTGACCACTTGGCCACATCACAGCCTGCCCTGTGCTACCCACTATGTTTCATCCTTTATGCTTCTTACATTGTGGTGGCATTCATTTTCTTTCTCTTATACCTCATCTGCATTTAAAAATCATTTCAAGATAGGTACGAGGCAATGAACACTAGTGTCACTATACCAAAAGGAAGTGGCTGACATGGAATCATTTCAGAAAAGAGCATATGACTGAGAACCAAAGGTAACGAAGAAAGTTCAAGATATACTGAAGGCATTAGCAAAAATTAACTGCCCAGGAATTTAAGGGATATCAACTGAAATGTTTTAACGAACAGATGCAGCCCTGGACTTGCTCATCAATCTGTGCCAAGAAATTCTGACTACAGCTTTCTGGGAAATTAACTGGAAGAGATCTATATTTGTTTCCATTTAAAAGAAAAGGAAAAAAAGGTGATCCAGTAGAATACGAAATATGAAAAATAGTACTAATATCACGTGAGTAAAATCTTGCTGAGGATTATCCAAAAATGACTGGAACACTTTATCAACAAAGACTTGCCAGAAATTCAAGCTGGATTTAGAAAAGGTGTGGCATCAAAGTTACTAATGTCAGATGGGTATTGCCTAAAAGCAGAGAACACCAGAAAAATGCTTACTTGTGTTTTATTAAGGAGGCAAAGGCATTTGACCAGGTAGGTCATAACAAAAGTATGGTCAACACTGAGAAGAATGGGAATTCAGAACACTTAATGGTGTTCACGTGAGACTTAGACCTAGGCCCTACACTGCTGTTGAACAGAGCAAGAAAACACTGCATGAATTAAAATTAAAAAAATGAGTTCATCAGGGCTATATCCTTTCTCCATACCTATTTAATCTGTACCTTGAGCATATAATTTAAAAAGCTGAACTCTTTAAAAAAATGTCTTGTTAGGGAGCTCTGGTGGTCAAGTGGTAAAAAGCTGCACTGCAATCCCAGAGTTACGCAGTTCGAATCTACCAGATGCTCTGCTGGAGAAGGAGGGGCAATCTGTTCCTGTACCAGTCAGATCTGATTCGATGGTACACACACAAAAAAGTAATAAAATAAATTAAAAAAATTTCTTGTTGTGTGCCATCGAATCAGATCCGACTGGCACAGGAGAAGATTGCCCCTCTTTCTCCAGCAAAACATCTGATGGATTCAAACCCCATGCCTTCGGGATTGCAGTGCAGTATCTTGCCACTAGGCTACCAGAGCTCCCTTAAAAAAAACTAAACTTTATTGTCCTGTGCAGACCATCAGTTGATGTCCATGTGTATAGTTATGAGAGTGGCATCAGGATTGGAGGAAGACTCATTAACAACCTGCGTTGTACAGATGACACAACCTTGCTTGCTCAAAGGGAGAAGGATTTGAAACACTTGCTGTAGAAGATCGAAGCCTACAGCCTTCAATATGGATTACCTCTTAACCTCAAGAAAACAAACATCCTCAGCACTGGGCTGAGAGGCAACATCATGCTGTTGTTGTTGTTGCTGTTAAGTGCTGTCGAGTCGTAGGTGACTCATAGCGACCCTATGAACGAAAGTCCTCAACACCTGTGTAACTTCCCTCCTTTCTCCAGGTTCATAGAGTTTCCGGAGGCAAGCTATTACGGAAGTGGATGCCACTCCTGTTTCCAAGCTTGTTTTAATCGGGGAGCTCCACCAAACACTGTCCGCCAGGTGTAACCATTAACACATTTGACACATCAGTGTCACAGTGTTCAGCTTTGCAGCAACCACGAGTTACCTCTGCACGGCAAGTGGACACACCAGGGCTATATGACCTAGAAGAATGTTTGCTTGATGGAGAAAATATTGACACCGTCAACCCTTTCATCTTGCTTGGATCCATAATCAACAGCCCTGGTACCAGCAATCAAGACATCAAAAGATATGTTGCACTGGGAAAATCTACTGTCAAGGACTTCTCCAAGGAGCAGAGATGTCAATTTAAAGACTAATGGGCAACTTACTCAAGTCATGGTCTCTTAATTACTTGCTAAGCATCTGAGAGCTGGATCATAAATAAGGACGCCAGCTCAATGTCACCTAACAATCGTCCCCACCACCACCTTTGCAATAAGCTTTGCCGTACTCACACTCAACTGCCACCAGGTTAAGAGCTGAAATCATAGCTGGCCTTCCAGGCGATTTTCAGAGATTGTAAATCACACAGGTGGAGACTGCTCATGTTTCCCCTGCTGGTCTCAATTACTAGCTATCAGGATAGGGCAGGATTCAGAGCTATTGTGCATAGGGTTGCTATGAGTCCCTGGCGACTCGACAGCACCTAACAACAACAAGCTCACAGTTGTAGATTCTATCTCATAACAAACAACCCTTGAGTATAGAGTAGAACTGTCCTACAAGACTTCAAGGCTGTGAAAATTTACACAAGCTGACTGATTCATCTTTCTCTTAAACCACTGACAATCCAGTTGACTGTCCAATCGCAGGAGAATCACGAACCACTGGAGAGATGCAAATAAAAACTGCAAACCTTTTACCATGGCTAACCCCACCTAACTATGACTAAAATGGCACATTTGGGAAAAAAAAACCAGATAATAAGAAACATTAGTGATGATGTGGGGAGATTGGAAGCCTGACCTCTTGCTTGTATGTCAGATGGTGCAACGACTGTGGTAAATGGTACGGTGTTTTCTCAAAAAGCTAGAAATAGAGCTATTCTATGAGCCAGCAAACCCATTTCTGTGCTTATGCCCTGTTAGGCTGCTGTCGTGGTTGGGTGCAATGTGGTCAGCTATGCCTATGAGAACATATTCACGGCAACCCTATGAGAACAAAGTCCTGCCCCATCTTCAGAGCCTCTGCTGTGCTCAGTCCCACTGCTGCAGTCACTGTGCCAATTCATCTCATTAAGGATCTTCCTCTTCTTTGCTGACCATCCACATTTCCAAACATGATCTTCCTCTGGAATTGCCCTCCTGACAACATGTCTGAAGAAGTCTCATCATCCCTGTCTCCGAGAAGTTCTCTGGCCTCAGTTCTTCCAGTACAGACGTGTTTATACTTTTGGCAGACCATGGCATACTCAGTATTCTTTGCCAATACCACAATGCAAAGGCATAAATTATTTTTTGGGCTGAAATTATGTTGTTAGGTATCATGGAGTCATGTATGACTCATAGCAACTCTATGAACAACAGATCTGAACCTAGTCCTGTCCTGTGCTAACCTCACACTTTCTGACACACTCAAGGCCATGCACTAGTCACTATGTCAATCCACCTGGTTGAGAGTTTTCTTCTCCTTTGCTGTCCCTCTATCTTTCCAAGCATGATGTCCCTCTCCAAGAAATAAGCTTTCTTGGAAACATACCCAAGTATGGGAGATGAAGTTTTGCCTCCAAATGTCATTCTGTCTGCACCTTCTCCAAGACATATTTGTTTGTTCCTTGGCAGTCTGTGGGATACTCAGTCCTTTTCTCCAACACCACAGTTCAAAGGCATCAATTCTTCTTCTGTCAACCTTATTCATTACACCTTTCAATATGGATTGAATTTCATTGTCAAGAAAACAAAATCTTCAGCAACATCATGATAGATGGAGAAAATATTGAGACTGTCAATCTCAACTGACAGTCAATGTCAGGGCAAAGAATATAAGAATAAGGTTTATTTGTGCTTATTGACTATGCAAAGACATTTGACTGTGTGGATCATGGCAAATTATGGCTAACA